ACACACACACCGGGTTCAGCTGGAGGTCGGTGCAATACAAGTCTACTATCACTAAAAACTAAACTCCTCCGCCTTCAGTCTGCTGAAACAGGCAGTGAATAATTTTTACTTGAAGATGGCTTGGCGGCACTTTAACTTCGAGATACAATTAAAGTAGATTTTTTTCGTCGAGGACATATGCTCCGGATCTCAATGATCACATATATTATCCATGCTAGTCAACACTCTTTCCACTTTGCTTACCCATATTGTCAAAAATAAAGGCCCTAAAGTTCCATAAAAAAGCTATGAGCGCATAACTGAACACCCGGTTTCAAAATTTACACAGTAAACTGTCTCCAGTAAAAAAAATGGGCGATTCCTCGCCTTACTGTAGAAATATTAGGTTTTGGAGACAGTCAACTGTATCACAATAGTCTGTGCATGAGAATGCGGCCGACGAAAAAAGAACATCCAAATGCTCACAAAAGGAATCAACCGATCGTAAAAGGACAATGAAATCGTTGATTGCATCATGTTAGCAAATGCAAAGAGGCGGCTTCCTGCACGAAAATAGGACACAATATTCATTAACTGTGGTGGTTGTTTCACGCAATGCAGGGACTCCGCAATGGACCACCCAGTGGCCCGTACCGAAATGCTTTTGAAAAATGCCTTGGGAAGTCAGGTTTATTCAGTGGAATATTCCTTAATCCCGTGAAAAACGCACCCTTCTTGATAGAAAAAATTAGTTCGCGAAGCAGATATCAAAAACTAACTTCGTTATTGTTCACCAACAAATCTACCATTATTTTTAACTAGAAAATCAGATGTCGGTGGTCATGCATAATTTACTAACACCCAACCCTTCTACAGGTCCTGAGGCAACCATGGGCAGATGTGGTCAAAATTATCTCCTTACAGTTTCACTTTATTAAGTGAAAAAAGTTGGCTTTTACAGTCCGAAATTTGCTGTTCCTGTGCGTCCCCTATCATTCCCTATGATACATCTAGACTCGAGCAATTATAATTATTTGATAAAATTTCCATTCTGGGAAGAAGAACTGGTCCCAGCTATAATAGGTTAGAGATAGAGAGAGGCGGCGAGTTAGCTCGTGCGAGCGACCAGCTTCGCATAAGAACGCCAAACCCCAAATTCTAAGTACTGGCAGTTCAACTTCATTGCAGATCAAGGCATTTTTGGCGGTAACGTTTGTTTCTACCTCACATGGGTTGCCTTGGGGGATTGCGCTGCTACTTCGAGTAAGCTTGCCGTAACAGCTGACACCTTCCAGAAAGGTAGGACATCAAAGTCTTACCAGAAGTGACCTTGCCATTTTATAGTTGTATCGTAGGTTTTTTTCGTTATTTTTAGTCACGAGACAGTTGCAGTTAATCCTCCTTACGCGCGTTAAATGCCGACCAAAGGTTAGGCTGTAAAGAATTGCACTTAACTGGGGCGGTAGAACGATTTGACAGGGCTGCCATTCATTAGCCAGTATTAAATATCAAGTCAGGATGTACAACCAGCCGCTGCACAGGTCAGCTTCTAAGCTATAGACATAACATACAAAAGTCAAGAAGGGAGAAGCAGGAAACAGGGCAGTCAACCGATTCGATTTACAGAAGCCAACGAAAAAAACTATAGTATGTATTGTGCAGAACGCAATAAGGACAGAGACAGAGCCACAGCTATCAATCTCATGCATGAAAACTGGGCAATAGTCCCCAAGATCTTCTCATTCAGGAGCGCGCATATAAACTAAAATATCATCACCGAAATGCGTCCTGCTGAGGAGATGAGCCCCGTGACAGTAGAAGAGAGTGAACGGATTAGTGTACAGGCGACAAAAAGTGATCGGCTGAGTCTGATCAGGATTGACGTGGTTCAGTGCCGAAAGGTTAAAGAAGATAAAAGCTCTCGTGGGCTTTCTAGGGGGGGGGAGGTAGATCAGGGAGAGGCGTGGCAGAAAAGAGGGGAAAAACAAAATACTCTCAAGAGGCTTCGGGCGTATCCTCCGGCCTCGCCTGATGGGCGGCACTTGTCAAGATGCGGGTTCTCTTCACCGAAGAAGAGAAGAGATCTGAGTTGCAAACTGGGCAGAAGGACTGTCGACGCATCCACTGAGAAAGGCAATCAGTGTGGTAAACGTGACCACAACGCGTCAGCTTTGCATCGTTGACAGTCATGGCAGAAAAACAGATTGGACAGTCGTCTGCGTTGATCTCCAGCTCCTCTTCCGTGGGTGAGGGGATTTGTGAGAGACTGCGCGAAAAGAGGAAACGCCAACGCAGCCAGGAGAGGCCACGGTAGGTCGCAGGATAGAGCACACACGATACATGAACTACCAGGATGAAGACACGACATACACCAAACGATTCGTAAAATATCAACCAGAGAATGATGAGCACTGAAAGAAGGGAGATTAGGTAGTTGATGAAGATGTTGGTGAGACGAGTGGCTGCCAATAGGGTGCCAAAGCCAGTCCAGTTGGGTCTCCGTTTGTGTACTTGATGCAACAGATATTCAATCAGGGTACACGTGACGTCCAGCAAGAGCTGGCCGCCGCAAAGGTAGGTTCGCAATCGTTGGGCATAGCTTGAGTAGGCAGAGAAGATGGCTGGCGGCTTGAGAGCACCCTCCGTGCTGGTCCCGCTGACCTCAGCCAAGAACTGGTAGCCACGTCCAGTGTGAGGAAGATACGAGAGCCAGGTGGGAAAGTAGACAAACACACAGCCGGACACAGCAAACATAAGACCACAAAAGGTGAGAGGAATGAGGTGGTCGAGCCAAGATGACTCCTGTCCGGGGATACCTAACCGCAGAAGGATCGCCTTAACCAAGGACTCCACGGGGTAGATACAAGTGAAACCCATGACAATAAAGAGATGCATAAAGCAGAAAACACGCTGATGAATGCTCAGATTCGGTAGGTCATATTGGATTGCTAAGAAGGCAAATAGCACAACACAGCTCCAGCCGGTGTTGTTGAGAAGTTCTATGGCAGTGACCTCGATGTGATTGTTGTTTTGTAGCTGATCCTCAATGGGAGCCCAGGGGTTAGCGGCAACTGGATCAGCCTCAGCGGTTTCCGCGAGTTGGGCTGTTGTCTCACCGAGTGGGTCCACAAAAAAGGCCAGCACTTTGACGAGAAAGGCCGACAGAAGACCGAGAAAGACTGCTGCACCGTAGACCGAGGTCCAGGTCTCGGAGCCTAGGGCAAGAACCCCGGTTAGGAGGCGTGACTCGAAACACGACCAAGTCGACAGCGGCAGACTGTGCTCGTTAGCGTACGTCCCCAAGAAAGTAAAATTTAGGGAATAGCGCATTGGTGCCTCCCGGCCCTCAATAGGCCGAGAGACAAGCTCCACCACGGTCGCGTCAATAGGCCAGAAAGTCGCGCCCAAGACCAGCACAAGTACCAGCTTGATCAGCCAAAAGAGGAGGAAAACTTTCGGAACCTCCAGTCGTACCCAGTGCATGTGAAGGTATTCGAAAGGCTCCGTCGACAAGTAGCGCCACTGCTCGTCAATTCGGCGAAGCAAATGAGACCACAGACCACTCATCAGCAGGGCGAGAACAATTAACGACATGTAGACTGATAGGAAGATTTGTGGAAAACTGAAAATTTCCTGGTAGATGACCTTAGATGCGGAATGGTATAGCATACAGGGTGCATACTGACGCCACACACGTTCATCAACAGCCGCTGGGGACTTCACCAGGAGGTTGAAGTACGTACACACAGCCTGGCAGGTACGAGAGAAGTTGGCCTGAGGAACACAGGAGCCGAGGGGTGAATGCATCAATAGCTCGACCGTATCCGAAAGTTTGTGCGCCGAGAGATAGAGGAAGGCGGGAAGAAAAATCATGCAGAGGGTGATGGCTGTCCTCAGGGCATTTCTCACAGCAATAGTGGAGGCCGGGTTGGAACGCGGCAGGGGATCCTTGTAGGCGAGCAGGCGAAAGCATGTGAAGGAAGTGAGATAACCCAAGAAAGGCAGAGGGAAAAGGGAAGCAAGGATTGTCGGAGTGTGCCAGACAGTCGGCTTGGAAATTATATCATTCAGCCGGCGGACGAAGATTATGTAAGCGATCAACGTGAGCACGAAGGGGCAACACATGAGAGCTAGGGTAATATTGCTCCGCCGGTCCAACACACAAGCAATCGCAAACAGCGTGAAAACTAAAAAAAAAGAAAAGAGAGATGGAGAAAATTTATGTCTAGATTTTGGGAGAGAGAGAGAGAGAGAGAGAGATGGGGAAAATAGTAGTCACGCAACACTATAGTAGATTACATAGCTGTGGTTGCAATAACTGAAACTTGGTGCTGCATCCAAATTAAATATCTGATTCGGACTTAATTACAGGTCTTTAACTAAAAAATATCGAGACGTTTTAATAAACGTATAGAGTTCAGAGGGATTGCCGTCCTCTCCGGGCACCTTGCTGTTTTACGGTCTTAGTTGCATTGACATTTGGCCCTTAGAAGCGGCGTCACATGACACTGGAAATGAATAAAATTCTGCTGCGGAGAGTGAGTGAGTGTGTAACGAATTGTTCACTGAAATTGAGGTGCTCGAAGGGCTCACGCCAGCGAGCGAGCGACCTTGGTCGACTTGTCAACAATAAAGCCGCCATTCACACAGCGGACGGAGTCGAAGACAAGTTGACAGTAGTTAACTGACTAAAACACTCAACTTACGCAGTGCGAAGAGACGGCAGGGCGCCAGGTCCAGCAAGGGGTGACACCCGCTTTGCTGTTTTTACTGAACATTAGCACGTCTCACGGCCTTCCTGACAGTAAGGTCAGCAAAGTTTTGATCCCTTAATGACAAATCGCAAAAAGGAAGTTTTTTCATCAACCAAACAGGAAACGTGCAGCGAACACGATTAACTGCACCCCTCCGTTGAAGCCAGTTTGGTTAATACGATACAGGCAAATTTTCTACATGTGTAGTCAATCCAATCAGGTCGAAAACGAGTATAAAGAGACCTGAACCGAAGTTCTGCTATTAAATCAATAACTATTCCCGACAATCGGGCAGACGGTTTGGCTGCAAAGTAAGGAGCAATTGCTTCCTTATCAGGATATCATGAAAATTAGTGACAAATGTAGGACAACCACTATATTCATCAGAACGACAGGTCCGTTTTCAAATTTAGTTTAATGCGAATTCTAGAGAAAATTGCCAATAAAGCATTGGACGGTTGCGCCCCTTTTCAAAAAGCTTAGACGTAGCGTGATACGTGATGCAACGCCCTACACAAAGTTATATGCATCCAGGATTCCATGAAGCTCCAAGATGGAATTTTTGAATCAACTCGTGTCGCCAGTCCATAATTCTTCAATTTTGAAAAAAATTCTCTATCACCCTCAAATGATTGCAGGCAGTAGAATGGTTAAGAAGGCTACCTTGGGCAAAGTATTTCAAAAAGGTAATTTTCTGCATTTACAGCAGATGGCACAACTCACTAAATACTAGGACAAAAACGGCTTAATTTTAAACAGGAAGAGCATACGCCTGTGTTAGTTATTAATTATTAAATTAATGTGTGACCTTGTTACAGGGCTATCTTTCCAGCGAAAAGATGACCTTTCTGGGGGAAAAAAGCAGACGGGCAATTTTCAATGCTGCCGACCGTCACAGGCCACGGTTTTCGATTTGCGCATTTTACTGTGAAAGAACATTAATAATAAGCATGACAAGTTTACAGTAAATGCCTTCCGTAATTCGAAAATATGGACTTACGTCCATGAAAAGCAACAGAGGCCATGAAGGAAATAACACACAGCCTCAAAAATTAACGGGCGCATTTATCTTCAAAAATTAGAAATGCTTCTTCTCACAAAATGCTTTAAACTTGTCTCACAATAGTTTGCTTTACAGCAACGAGAAGAACAGAGCGTCAGCAAGCATACAAGGAGTATCCGCGATATTCCCTCTTGCCGGAAATTGAAGGCAGAGGGGGGGGGAACAGTTTTTGTTTGCAACTGACTATGAACTAATACGGAACGTATCAGCCGGCAGGAGGTTATCGTGCAAGTCGCTAGCAAGCACTTCCAAAATGACAGAACCCTGCCTAGTAATATAAGCGGGTGGGTCAAAAGGGCCAAATAAATAAAACTATGTTTATCCTTATAAGGCCATTAAGACCACCCACAGAGAGCATCTTTGAAGAAAGTCGGAGAATAATTATAAAGAGGATGCAGGATATTTGTTTTACTTGTAAATTCCATGAGCATACCGTCTTTCAGGAGAAATATTATGCGGATATTTCTTATTTCTATGTTGACAACAGGCCCTCATTCTTGAAGAGCATTTATTTCTGCGATGAGGTCATATTTCTAAAAAAAAGTCTACGAATGCTGCCTTGATGGTCATATGCGGTAACAACTACTCTACCGAACACCTTTCGACCGCAACTTTCTAGAACCATTGATGGCTGATGGATTGGATGTCCATCAAATTCACAGAGCAGCCAAGCTGGCGGTTAACAATGAACACAATCAACAAGAAGAGATTTATCGACATTATGAACGATAGCTGCTAATACAACAGCATTCACCGATTCCGA